AACAGACAATGTCTTTTCTGTGAAGGTTAAAGAGGTGAGGATCACATTATTTAGACACGATTCACAGATTGAAATAATCCTCATTTATTTTCTGATGAGCATTAGTTAACCCAGAAGCTGTTTTGGCCCCTCCCCCTTTCATCCAAGGTTCTTCTGATTTGCTGCCTGTTGATCACAGCAGGAGGTTGTAGCTGACGTTGTCTGAGAAGACCATATTAGGGTCTGAGAGCCTGAAACAGTGTTTGGAGATGGAAACTTAGGGAAAGCACAACAGCTCCACTTTGATTTAACCGTCTCTAAATTTACTTCACCAACCCTCGCAACGCATCAAAGAACCACTGTTGACTTGAATCCTTCATAGGAGGGATAATGGCCTCTAACCTATAAAGCTCTTTAATAACTGTGTCACTAAGGCTACGTTCACACTGCAGGCGAAAGCGCATCAAATCCGATTTTTTTGACCCTATGCAACCCATATCCGATCATGGTATGACAGTGTGAACGGCGCAAATCCGATATTTTCAAATCCGATCTGGGTCACTTTCGTATGTGGTACTGAATCCGATACATATCCGATGTTTTAGAAAGCGACTGCTGTTTGAATGGTCATGTCGCATTAAATCCGTCTTTTACGTCACTGACACAAGACAGACGCCAATTATCAGCTCTGGAGAAGCGCCCGATAAGACATCGTGAATGCTTCCTGGCCATCCAGTGTAGATGTCAGTGAAACTGTTGGGAAGACAACGTTGGAGAAACGTGAACATTTTATTTGTACTGTATAATCTGCAGATTCTGACAGAAATCTGCAACTATCCTTTGAAGCACCGCTCCTCTCTAAAACAGCAATAAGGATAATTATGAGGTTATTTACATTATTATGTAAATAACAAAATAACTTAAAGCAAAAATTAGGAAACATAAAGTCCGAAGTCTCTATATTAAGGGCCATCAGTCAAACAATACTGTTTGCTCTGGGTCTAAACAGAGCGCGTTGTGTGTGACGTCTTCTTTTGCGCATGCGGGCCGCTTTGTGGGTTCACACTAGAGCGCGTTTGCTGTCGCATTTTATCTGTAGTGTGAACGAGCAGACAAAAAAAATCGGATTTGATCAAAAAATCGGAATTGAGCATTAAGACCTGCAGTGTGAACGTAGCCTTAGTATTATACACCAGCCGGTCTGTCAGAATGGATTTGTGGGCTTCACAGGGCCTTAATTTAAAATCTGTTTATCCAACTGTCACTAAGGACCCCCCTTACACACACCGACCTTCTGTGTTGCTCGATTTGACTTTAATGTTTATGAAAGTCATGTTTCAATAACTTTCACCATATAAAGCATATTTTCAGGTCACAGAAAACATGCTTTATATTTTTAACAACTCGGCACGGGACGTTTTCTCCCTGTGCCCCACACCCACCCCCCAAAACCTCCACCCTTTCATTCCCTCCATCCCTTCCTTTCCTCTTGCTAAATACATCCTCCTCCAGCCAGCAGAAAGTCGGCGCAGGGCTGCTGGGAGACAATGATCTGCCTGTAATGACCGCTTGTATACTGGTGTTCTGCTGTGTGTGTGTCCAACTACTCTCTAGAGATCAATTAAGCTACTTACAGTGGATCAGTGGAGAGTCCGGTGCCTGCTGTCATGCATGTCCAGCAGCACGGGGACACACAATTCTAACATCACAGACTCACAGGTGGAGTCTCCATGTAATGATAAAATAAGGTCCAGGATCATCTCCTGCTAGCGCCTCAGAGACAGCGGTAAAGGGCTAAGAAGCACGATGTGATCAGGATTTGTGTAACACTGCTGTGAAACAGACCATGACTGTGCTGGCGGGCGAGTCTGCTTTAATAAATGAGTTTGACGATCGTATGGATTCTTTTGTTCAGTGAGTAAAACAGAGGAGCATTTATCGATTTATTTTGTAGGTTCGCTCCAAGAAGTGATTCTTTTAAGGTAAATAACAGCTGTGAGATCATAACCTTTTGAGAAATCCTGGGAAATGACACAATATATGGAGGGATTTGTGAAAAACATCGCATGAAATTTAACCAGCTGTTCCAGACGAGGCTTGTAATTGAAGGCTCTGATCTTTAAAGGTCAAGTCCGTAATAAAAAAAAAAATGTAAACACGTTCCTTTGTTCTAACAACCTTATCACATGGGAAGTTTCCCCTCTGTTCCTTGCCCTGGGTGAAAAATTTCTGAACTATTGAGATGTGGAAATAATATCTCACAAAGTTACCACGACAACAGTGCAGTAAATAAACGACGCCTGGACAATATATGGGGCCTTTGTTAATCACTACAGCTGACATTAACAGCGGGCATTCACTCGGTTCGGCACACCGAACCCAAAGAATCCACGTCCGAGTGTTCCTAAAAGTCAAACGTTTGATTTCTACTTCATTTGTTTTAGTTTACCACCCTGTGTGATCTGAAGGCAAAGGAAACATGTGGCGATACAGACATAGTTTATTCTTGGGGGAATCCCCCACAGCAACAGAAACAGGTAGCAGCTAAATCAGTTTTTTATTAACCGTGTGCATAAGTATTTTTTATTTGTGCACAAAAGCTGCCACTGACCCCGCCCACCTCTCATCAAAGATTAATTCAACTGCCAACAAATCACAGAAAAAAAAATAGATTCTTTAAGCTGCAGACAGTCACAAAGGTTTTAACCATTACGGTGAAGAGAGCGAGCACCCTGAAGTTCACTCTTTGGAGCCAGCAATGGCTGACATGTTCGTCACAGCAGGAGAAACAAACTCCACAAATCATGTTGTATTTGCAGGAGTATCAACAATAGTAATAAATCAAAAGTGATCCTATCAGAAAGGAATGCTTTCTGATGGAGAGACAGATGTGCTCACTTTCCAACACACACACAGAATTAAACTAAACATCTGGGCTGTCTGTGAGTCTGTGAGAAAGGACAGAAAGAAAACGGACACACACACACACACACACACACACACACACACACACACACACACACACACACACACACACACACACACACACACACACACACACACCGTAATGGTGTTGGAATCTTGATAAAATCCTAATGGAACAAAAAACCCCAAAACAAAACAAAAAAAAAATACAGTAACACTGGAACACACACACATACACCATCCATACGTGCAGGGTGGATGATATCGCTATCATGATGTCATCACTGACACAGAGACCCCAACGCCGCAGGGAGAGGAGGAAAGCGTGAAAATCTGTGGCAGACATGGTCGGAAATACAAGAAAAAGTAAATGTGCTGTGTGTGTGTTACATGCGAGTGCAGATAAGTGCTCTTTGAGGTGATGTCACGGTCGAGCACGCCCGCGTGTATGTGGACTGAGCGGGCGTGGCCGAGCAGATGGTCGTTTTTGTAGCGAGGAATTCGTCAACATCACTCCACTGACATGAAAACTACGCTTCGAGTTTCCCCTGCAGGGACGGGAGACGTGTGCAGGCCCGGAGGTGCTCATGTCAAAACACACTCGTGTTTTCTCCTGGGTCTTTTGATGCAATTTCTCGCAGTCTGAGTGCAATCTGAAAATGAGTCCAGATGGCGTGGTATAAAATCGACTTGTAGATAAAGTCACCAGAGTTTAGGAATTATTAGCATAATCACATAATGCTCCCAAGAGATGTTAAGACGCCGAGCCACACAATCGCACTTCGCTTGTCCGATTCCTTCTGAAGGACCTGAACTCATCGATCACAAGCACATTTTCAAAGAGAAAGTATACCCCTCACATCACATAAAAATTAATTAATTAATTACAATTAAGAATGTCTTTCACAGAGAACTGAGCAAGTCTGCAACAATCAAGCAAGTTTCTGAAGGTGAGAGAAACCATGAGGCAAGAACACCAAAAACTGTTACCATAAAATGTATCCTGGATCTGTGAGTGACCAATGCTGCCGTAGCATGTCTAATTTAACGTACGACGTACAGGAATACAAGGAAAAACGAACTTTTGTACCAGCGAATGCGCGCATGTTGCCTGAAACATGGAGGAAGTCCGTTCACATGAGTAGGGGAAAGAAAAAAAGGAACAGCTCAAACCATTTCTATTCTGATGTTTAGATTTAACCCAGAGAGGCAGAGAATTACCACTTGCCAAAAGACAAATGCTGTAAGTTGCAGGATGGTCTGCAAATTGGACCACTTAAAAAGCCACTTGAGCAAAAACTATTATTCGGAGGTCGTAATCTATTGCAAATCCCATGTCAGCAGCTAAAGTGGCGAACATTAGAAAAAGGGTTTGTTTCCTTCCCTACATTTCTGCTTTTAAGAACAGGGTGAACTTTAAAGGCTGCTGTGGTCATTTTGTTGGTGGACTAATTCGGTCAATCTCCCCAGGATCTCATGGCGTTTTCCCCCATGCTTTCTTTCTATTAAAGGTTACGTTTTATGGTGCAAGCCTGGCATCAGCAGCCAGAACGTTACAATGTGACAAAGGTCAGGGATCTGTGTTCAATATGAGGAAACCGAGAGTAATAAAATAAATATCAGCTCATTCTCATGTATACACGAACACAAAGATCCGGCACAGCCTAGCGGCACACGCGCACTCAGGTGCATTTTCACACACATTTTCTTAGTTTTCTTAGCCAGACTGTGCTAATTTGAATCATCGTCACACATAAGCACAAACTTACTGTGGATGTAAGAACAGACCACATGACTAATCTACTCTCCTCACTCCTTTAATCTCACAACGTCTCCAGTTTCACCGCATGACTTTCCTGCTACAGCCCCAGACCTGATAAGGCAAACAATGCAGAGCCAAGGTTTATACACACACACACACACACACACACACACACACACACACACACACACACACACACACACACACACACACACACACACACACAAAAGGAATTTGGCCTCAGCATTCATTAAAGAGAACTCACACAAGAGAGGACTGTTTGGTAACGGGGAAAGAGGGGTGTGTGTGTGTGTTCCATATCAGTGTGTCCCACCTGCTTCCTCGTCCTCACCCATGCCGATGGGCCCGGGCTGAGGCGTCTCCCCATTCTTTAGACAGTTGTGGATGTAGGTGGCCTTCCAGCGGGCATACTTCCTGTGCTGGATGTTCTGGTGAAGGCGAGAATAAACACACATCAAGGAAGTTATAACTGACACAGGGAGATATATTTTTCCACAGCTTTTACCCCAAAAACTAACTGCCGGTTAGTGTAACACATGCGATATGGTCAAAGGTCGAGGCTGCTGAAAGGTATGAATTTAGTCACTGTAAAGGACTTGGAAGTTCAAACTGAACTCTCATTGATTGAGGTTGTCAATCATTAGTTCCTAATGATGTCATAATCATTAGTTTCCAATTCTCCTTTAATGAGGTCTTCTGAAAAATAAAAATGTTTGTGGGTCCCAGGGTGCTCCGTTCAAAAGCACCCAGTTTCACCAATCTAATTTTAACAAGTGGAACCATTTATTCTGCTCATGTTTACCATGGGTCCTAAATTCATTGTCATACACCAGCAATGCAGGATAGGGGCTCTCTTTGTTAAAGACGTTTTGCAGCTTCAGTCATGATCTGGATGAGGAACTTTCCAGACTGGAAGTCACTGGAACACTGTGGACGTCACCGGATCTACCTGAGACAGCCAGACTGTGACCTGGGCACTCGACATATAAAAAGCAGAGCTAGTACTGCTATATTGGAAGTCCTAATCCAAGTGGCACTTGACAAACGTGTTATGTTCGGTCCCCAAACAAAGAGAAGAAGGCAGAAATTGTTTGCTGCACCTGTCACATGCCAGCGTGCTCTGAGAGTGAGGCAAACTGTATAACTGCATGAAGTGTGAGCTTTGCTTAGCTTTATTAGTTTCTGGTCCCAGTACAGCTGTACAGGACTGGGTTTACACCGCCAACAAAAAGTAAGACTCATTCTTGTGAGGGCTCTGCTTTATCAAATATTCTGTTCCTAACTTTTGGACAGACTTGGACACGTGGACAGGCACAGTTGAGGAGTGGAGGGTGTTAGAGTCAGGATTTTATCTTTGCTTTTGCTGATGACATGGTTCTTTTTGTCGGGTGCTAACCTCTACCTTGCACTGGGGTGGTTTAAAGGTGGGATTAACACAGTCAAAGCCACGATTCCTCAGCTAGAAAAGATGGAGTACCAACTCCGGGTCAGGGATGAGTGTCTGTAGGTCTTGTCCATGAGTGAGGTGAATGGAGCTGAAAAGACTGACAGATCCTTCCTCTCACCAAGTGCTGGAATATTTATTCAGTGTAGCAGGGAGTGGCTTGCGGTGCCATGCAGGGAAGGCGGACGCACCTGCACGGCATCCGCAATCATGCCCCGCCGACTTAAATACGGTACTGGGTCCTGCAGGATGGTGGTTGTTGTCAGTGTGTGTGTGGTTGGCAGTGAGATAGAGAAAGCTGCAGCCAACAGTGTGTGTGAACAAGCAACCATTAATAAAGAGATGCTGCAGAGCATGAAAATGCACCGGGTCTGCTGTGGGTTTGTTACAGTGGTGCCGAAACCTAGGATGAGGACACAGCAGACCTGCAACTAGGCCAAATGTGGAAGGAGCTGACCCAAATGGTGGCTGAGATGGTGGCTACACAGCAGGAGGAGGCGGCAGTGTTGCGGCGCCGGCAGGAAGCATGAACATGCACTGGGGTCTGCTGTGGGTTTGTTACATTCAGGTCTCATTCTGTTGGCTATCTGATTTCCATCAGTACTCTAGAACATGGACCTAATGTGAATCAGGTTAGCTTTTAAAGCAGGGCCAGAGAAAGGAAGGTGTAATTTATTCTATGATAAGTAGAGAAAAGATACCAAAACTGAGTCTGAAACGAAAAAAGCATTACTGGTTTAATTTGAGCCAACTTTTAGGACCTGGATTTTAAATGGGAGGGTATAACTGCTGAAGGCCTGAAGACAAAGAAGCAGGTAAGTAGTTTTGAAGGGTATAAAAAGGTGTAAGCTATTTGAATTTGAAGTTAAAGAAAATAAAAATACTTCAGTCCCAAGGTTCAAGGTTCAGGTACTGAATAAAGTTCCATCCATCCAACCCAGAAAAGAAAACATACATACACTGTAAGGCTGTTAGAGGTATTTATCCAGTGGCTCAGTCCCCTATACGACTATAGAGTCAGAGTAACAAAGTTCTACCAGTGGGGTTAACAGGTACTAAGTTGGGCACTAAACCTCAATTATACACTGGTTTGCACTCAGGTGTGAGTGATGTAAAATTTATGATCAGTGCGCATCTGCCTTTGCTTGGAGTCGCCCACAGAGAATTTACATTACATTTCATAAACTGCGTGTCCCAGGTCCTCGGTGTCAGGCAGTGAATGATCACGATGTACTACAATGGAGGTGTGAGGAGACGCAGTAGAGTGTTAATGGGGGCACATTAGAGTGAATCAAGGCTGAAGGATCTTTGAAATATTACAATAGGAGTGACGCTGATAAGACCTGTGAGAATTTCCTGCTTATTCCAGTTAAGTGCCAAATTCACAGAAGCAGCTCAGAAACAACACGGAGAGCTGACGCGTATTTGTTTAGCCTTAGCATTACCATCGCAGATGGATGAGGCTCCGGTTATTTTAATCCCTGGAAAAACACTTTTGAGATATTAAAGCACGCAAAGGGAAAGACAGGAATGTAACCGCTATAAAAGTTTCAACAGAAAGGTCACACATTGTAAAACTCTCGGTTAAACAATAACTCATAGCAGAGGGAAGCACATGCTCCCTCATGGGGCAATTTGTTGTCTTTGCATTCATTTAACACCTAAACAGGACTTTTGTAGAAGGCAAAAAGACTCAACAATATCATAAAGACAAAAAACTATGTTCCCTCTTCGGACTGTGCCTGGCCAGGCCCCATAGACTACTTGGGCCTGACCTCAGGCGCTCGACCTCGGGCATCCTCCCTGGGCCTGGCTCCAGGGCGTGGCCCAGTTAACCCCATCCCGGGCAGAGTTTGTTCCTGGGTGAGGGACCAGACAATTCGCCATGGATGACCCTACCATAGGGCAAAAGCCTCAGATAACATACCCCCTGGGATCCCAGGGACACACAAACTCCTCCACCACAATAAGGTAGCAATTCACAGAGGGAACCACTGGACTTTAAATCTTCATTTGGACATTTGGTTGGTAAAACCTTAAACGTTTCAAGATATGATGAACCACGAATGCTTCAGTTCTGAATTACTTTCAACATATTTGTTGGAAACATCATTATCTTCATGCAGTCATGTGATAAAGTTTTGTGCACAACTGTGAAAACTTTTTCATGACTGTATAAAAAAAAATCCAGATTCTTTTATATTCTAGGTGATGATCCGATTTTCAAAGAGTGACTCAGGAACATGTAGTTTCCCCGGCTGCTGACTCTTTTCTGTGAAGTACCACGATTAGGGTCACAATGCTTTCAATTCCCGTAATTTGTTAATGTAAAATGCATTGGCTGACAATGTCCCCAGGTGGGCTCATGGCCTCATGGTGGAGAGACATAATTATAGTCAGAGGCAGATGGTCCACGCTGCCTTTGTTAGTAACAATGTAGTGCGGTGACAACCGGAGTAGAAGAAGTACGCATATGAGCTTTCTGCTCGTGTAGATTTTTATGTCCAGTGCACGCTCTCGGCCAGGCACAGCAACAAGGAACTAACTGAAGAGGAAACAACTGGGTAATAATTCCAATTGATCAGGCGTAACAGCGACTCCTCGTGTAAAAGCAAAATTGTATTTGTTATATCAGGCCTGAACATAAAAACTCAACAGCTGCAGGAGGAAAGAGAAAACAATGGTAAAGTTAAAGATCTGGCAGCTTGATGCAGTTAACATGAAATCACACAGCGGTGTCTTCACATCTGAATATGGATGCACATCCAATTAAATGTACTGGAGGGCTGGACTGGGGCCAGATTGAGGATTAATGGTGTTCTTAATGAACAGAGATAAAAGGGAACGATCTCCTCTAATGGTGTCATCTCTCTTTTCAACTTAAAGTTTGTGGCCACATTAACAAATAGACAATACAATTCTAACCAGCTTCAAAATCTGCATTAGGTACGACAAACTTAATTCTTCAGTCTGAGCTCTCTGAGCTTTCTGTCATTTCTTTAAGTATCTTCAGGAAAAGATCTCCAGGATTTGTGAAGAGTATTTGAAGCTCTTGTTTAGAGGTTTTCTGCCTGTTTTTCCATTTCAGATATCCAGGAAAGAATCTCCACCCTGTGTCACAAATGGCTGCAGACTCTCACTGTTGGACCTCCTCCTGACCTCCTCGTACATACTGACCATGATGTGGATCCATCTCTCCATCAGACCTGTTCATGTAGTTTTCATAACTCTGCCTTTTCTCCCCGTTTCCCTACATTAAGAACTGCTTCCTGACAGCCGTCCTTTCAGTAACTTTCAGATACTGTTTATTTGCTACAGGCAATTGTTTTGGTTATTAATTTCTTCTTCAGTCACCTAGTGTTCTAAAAAACACACCATGCTGAGATATGGCAAGGTTTCAGTCAATAGCTCTGTGGGAATCACCTTGTTGGTGTTAACTTTGTTATCCTAGGCAATTTTTATAGATTCACCTAAAAAAATAAGAACAAATTATGAGTTTTTGTGAAACACAGGCTGCTCATAACAAAAAGCCACAAGATTCCATTTCAAACTGGTTCCTGAGTTGTCTGTTTTGTGTGAACAGCACTGGTTCATCCCTTGAGTTGGCTTTTTATTCTTGAAAATAAAATTAAAATAAATAAATAAATAAAACAACTGATTATTGTTCAGAAACCCTGGAGAGCTGCTGCTCAAGACCACTTTACAGGACAAACGGGCTCCTTGGAAGCAAAAACATCAATAAATGACGGGTGGTACCTGCTGACAGGCAGGACATCACCTGACATCTGAGTGCTTGCTTTGAAGAAATGTGTGACATTAAATGTGTGCCAGCCTCAGTTACAAAGGCTAGAGTCATTTTTGAAAAGCACTTCTGAAAATACTGAACTGGATAGTCGTGTTTTTCAAAGTCACTGACTCACTTGTCGGGTTCAGAGACTGTTACACGGCAGCTACAGATTCGGTTTCTCTCTCAGAAACAAGTCAGTGGGATGAATTCTGACACACATGGGAACACATTGAAGGCATTCACGAAGTATAAAGGTCCCTGACGGTAACAGTGTTACATAAGATGGTGGCAACACTGCTGAAAACCTCTTTCTGCTGCCTGAAACTCAGTCACCAGTGGGTCTCAGTGTGGGAACATGACAGCTCACCATACATGAACTAAGTGCCCCATCATGCTTTAATGGTTTCTGGGTGATCTGGGAATCATACACACCAGGTGTTTACAGGAACAGAGCTAAGCAGCACTGTGTTCATACCTCACTTTCACAGTAAAGTTTCGTACGCGGTCAACTTTAAGCACCTTGTTGTTGTGATTTGGTGCTATACAAAGAAAATGTCTCTGCAGGGTTTCCTAACGACAGGGTGAACTTTTATAATTAATGGTAGTGAAATATATTTGGGGACATACTTTGGCCATTTTTCAATCCATCTGGGAGAATCTCATTATCTGTTGTTAATTCACTGAGCCATAAGCCTACCCACTCTTATTTTGAAAGTTCAGTCACTGTCTGGGTGTCTGATCTCAAGAGGACCTCATCCCACAGCTGAACTCCAACATGATGGTCTGCAGTAGTCGATCATAACACCTCTATGCAGAGCTCAGCGCCCCTCAGAGGGACGAGCTGCAGGCTGACGGTGGAGATAACGGGCAGATGGCTGCAGAGACATCTACAGCTCCGTTATGTCTTCATCACAAACGCTGCACATAAAATGTTCAGAGCAGCGGCACATTTGAGCAGAATTTTTAATCACTTTTTTTAGAAAGCGTGGGACTCCTGCACCACACGTACTGTAATCTGAATCTGTGGGAAACGCTGCGCTGTGTTTCACACCTTAAGGCACAAATAACTCCCAGCCACTGCTAATAACCACTAAACTTAAACCTTTGCTTCCAATGATGAAGCTTTAATTTGCTCAGACTCTGATGTTCACACAGACTCTGTGGTTTGTTGTGTTGTGGCTGCACCTTCTCATCAAATGGAAATATTTAACGTGTTTGTGCATCTCTTCCCTGAAAATTCAGCATGGCACATTTGGGATCTTTGAAAATTTTTGGCTGCGAAATAAAATAAAGTTCTGTGTTTTAACAATGTCGGGCTGTGCGGCCAGTCTGTAAAGGTTCGCTAATAACTGCAGATTAGCGGGAGGATAAGAGCACAAATTTACACAAAGTCTGTTTATCTGCAGCACCCTGAATACATCGCAACAGCTGAGTCAACGCTTGGCCTCACAGCAGCTCTGTTATGAAAACAACAACAATGAAATATCAGAAGGAAGGGATTGGAGAATGACCTGAAGTCTCCTTTAATGACATTCCCACAGTGCAGTGACCTGATTGATGTCACGACTGTGTCACTTTCTCGTGTCTGAGTCGAAAGAAGCGGATGCATGACTGCTGTCAGGATCTGGCTGCACAGACAGGCCTCGGCAGCAGGATGAATGTTCTGTTGGTTTTGGTCTCTTTGGGGATTATTGGATCATTTATAAATGATTAAATAAAGTCGGCATCATCCTTCAGCCAGTTAACTGATAAATGAGCTTCCTATTGGGGTTGGTCATCATTATAACTCTGCAGAGATCAAACCTGGGACTCCCAGCAGGGTCTTTATCTTACCTCCTCTGACAGCTCCCCAAAAACAGACAAGACATCCAGCAGCAGACTTGAAGTGTAGAATGACTTGATCATGTTCCTGGAGGAAGGAAAGAGGCAGAGGAGGGGGACAGACGGCAGGAATTATGGGATATACGAAGGAGGAAAGGTTGGAAGAAAAGGGGGTTGAAAAAAATGGGCAGAACAGAAGTGAATGAATAAGATGGAAGAACGTCCATTAGTCTCTTACTGTCTCTTACTCCATCACTGAGAGAGCCTTGTTTCTACAACAGCGATTTATTTATTTGCCCATGAGCAATTTTGCCAATAATGTTGGTTGAAGCTAAGAGAAGCAGTCAACGGAAAAACAGAAAAAAAAAGAAATAGGGCCGTTTTAACGGCACCGTCTGCCAGCAGCTTTAGCGTGATTTGGTGCATTTCAAATAAATAAATTGTTAAGGTTCAAAATATTGGGGATGGAGACAAGAGAAAAACCACAATAACAACACTGGTCCGGCCGGGTTAAGTCAAACAATGATTTTAATGAACACCCGCGTGGGAGATGGACACCGTATGCAGACAGCCTCAGATCTCAAAATGGTGGAGCATTGCTCAAACTCTTATAGCCTCTGGTTCTCCCACCTTATCATAAAAGCCTAAACATTCACATGCTTTTCTCTCACACGGCGCCTAAGCTACGACCTTGGCTCCCCGTTTATCTGCTCCTGCTGAGTTGGGGCAGAAAACTCCAGTATATTCTGTTCTCTTCTAATCAGACAAATAAGGCGATGACTTTCTGCAAACAGTATTTCTTATAACATCATAAAACAATATCATTCATCCACAATAAATCAGCAGTCTAATGTAATGCAAATCAGTTTAACGAATGCAATAGTTATCAGCTTCTTCTAATTCAGGAGAATAATGCAAACTAAAACTACATAATAATTCACAATCTTTAGTTAGGGGTATAACATGGCATAAAATAATATTATAATCTGACAAAATAAACAAATAATCCAAAAGTAGCTATATTAGCAAAAGCACTTTCGATAGAGCTGAGGAAGCTGGTGATAGCCTAGCATACTCAGCCGGATGGTGGACACGTAAACGCTCATGCACGTTAGTCGTGTTTGAGTCCTTTGCTGGCACTATGCGTCTGCACAAGCGGCACACCCCTTTGGTTACATCCTCAGGTTTGCCTCTTTGAATCTTTCGGTTTGAAGCCAAAGAAATCCCAAATTGGTGACTTTGTATTTTTTTGGGCAACTAGTTGCTCCATGTTTGGACTTCTGTGTTCTAAACGCGCAAATCAGTCTGTGCATGATTACATTGCTCCGCCCATCAAAAAGTCACCTGCACGAATATATCGCCTATCGTCATTTATTGGACTCATTAATGTGGGTTGGAAAAATTTCACATATCGGCCAGCCTTAATCAATACCAACTAAAAGTGGTCCAAGCTACAAAGGAACAAACCACTGGAGCAGCTGCAGGCTCAGCACCACAGGACCGCTCCAGCGTGCTGTAGAGCACAGAGCACGCAACACGCAAACACGACACAAACTGTCTCCTGAGACATGTTGGATTCAAACATGCATCAGTGCCAGGACACTGTATAAACTCACTCGAGTTTTAAAAGTGTCTTACAATCACATGAACTCAGATATGTCACTGTTCGTATAAAACGGCGTAATATATAATGGCTCAGAGTTATTACATTTGGATCATTGTTTTAAAAAAGAAAGCACCTTTAAAACTTTGGCTGGTGCAGGTCGAGAGCCAAACATTTGTGTTTTGAGGATTGCAGATTATCTTTCAGTTATCAGCATTTTTGTTTCCATTACTGTCCCACCCACATGAGCTGGGGCAGGGGCTTAAAAATGCCACTTAGACTGGAGGGGATGGATCTTCTATTTCTGTATAACAGCATTACTCATTTTACCTCTAACGTCACTGTAAACCTTTACTAAGCTTTTATTGTTGTTTATTAAGCTAACGTATACGTTATTACTAGTTAATTATTTGCTTAGTATTGTTTACTTTTTGTTTACTTCTTTATCTGTTATCTGACTCTTGGTAAAAGATTTTAAACAGCATGTGCTTGTGTAAGATGTTGATCAGATGTTGAGGCTGGCCGGGCTCTCTGGTTTGAAGAGTAGATACGTTTGGTAACCACAGCAACCCATCATCACACACACACACACACACACACACGCACGCACACACGCACACACACACAGGTAAGGACAAAGAATGGGCTCCTTGTAGTGCAGAGTGGGAAGTTTTCAAAAAACATTCAGCTGTGTGACTCAAAATGAAGACATGTAAACATGTACGCATTTACACCTCTGTCTGCATGTATATCCGTGTGACTGTGTGTGTGTGTGTTCAGGAGTGACATAACACACGGCTGAGGCTCGTGTGTTATATCCGTGTATATCCGTGTGACTGTGTGTGTGTGTGTTCAGGAGTGACATAACACACGGCTGAGGCTCGTGTTGGCAGCAGACCGCTGCTGCTTGTAAAACCGCAGGCGGGTTTGCTGACCAGCAGCAGAACAGAAGCTTGAGTCAGTCCTGCTTCATATACCTGCTGGAAACAGCTTTTGGGCTGTGTTTACACCACAAACAAATCCAGAGACACGTCGCCTGCATCCATTCATCCTGCATGAGCTGCTGCAGGATGACTGACAGAAAGGGAAACCGACTCTGCACGTTTCTCCCATGTCAAAGGTCAAAGTGCAGAGTCTCCAGAGTTCACAGAGGAGACGTCATGCAAGTTTCTGTCTTTTTAGCAGATCTGGATGCTACTGATATGCTATTGAATTGAATTGAATTAAATTGAAATAAATTGAATGAAACCCCCTTTTAACAGGAAGAAACCTCAGGCAGAACCGGGCTCGGGGAGGTAATAAAGTGTGGAGTGATAAAGTTGCAAACTTGCGGGATGTTGGAGCGGGTGTTTTCCTTAAGGATGAGCAGATTTAATTACTTTAATGAAATAATAACTCCTTTGGTTTCTGCTGTGGTGATGATGTCACTGTATTACTGATGACTATCTTTCTATCGGCTTCAAATTCTTTTAAAACTTTATTAATACAGCAGATCTTAAACAATGCTGCTGACCAAAGCTTCTCCTCGGACATGCTCACACCGCTGCATTGTCTACAGCAGCTGTGTTCATGCTGAGACTTCATCAACCTGTTCATCCATGCTTCCTATTGGTCAGAAGCATGGATGGACCAGCACCGCACCTATCATGTGAACGTGCAAGGGAAACTCCAGGTGAACTCACAACCAGATAACCAGCTCAGCCCGATAACTGCTGTTGGGTACCTGAATCCAGGTAATGGGAGGATAAGCGGGTATCTGAAGTCACTTTGTCATGCAGGCATGGTGGATTTCTTTGTTTAGTTGAAAGGTTACAGCAGTTGCACAGAGTTGCAGGTGCTTCTGTTTTGTTGTTCTTTGTCTCATTCCTAGGAAATGGTGTGTCTGAGTCAGACACAGGGTCCAACTTTTTAAAGACAAAGCAAAGAAAAAAAAGATTGAATTCCTGACTGAAATATTTGGCCAGCCTCACTTAATGTACCATTAGAAACGCAGATAAGACAAACAAAGAACGCATTGAAATCGTGTGGAGAACGTATAAACACTTCTGATTATTTCCAAGGTGTTTCCTGTCGGGCAGTCTCATTCCAGGTGATAAACTGGGGGAAGGAGAAATTACAAAGGAAAAGAGTAAGAAACACACATTTTCCAGAGAAATCCCCCAAATCAACTGTTCCAATAACCTGGTGTCATGTTATTCTTCCCCGTTAAATATGAGGATTTAACACAACCAGAGTCACTAACAGAAGAGTAATGATTACAAACTAACGTTTTTGGTTTTAATCCGACTTCATTGGTTCAATTAGCTCCAAAGGTTAAAGCTGTGATGGGTGTGAACACTGTGATTAGCAGCAGAAACATCTCTGCTAAAACACTCTCAGCTGAACGCTGAATGAAGATCAACAGGCTGAGGTGGTTTCCTGACCTAAATAGGCAGCATTTTTCCACATGATGCCTGAGTTACTGCTTCCATGGAAGGAGATGTGACCGGCTTTCCACCAAACGGTCTGGAACTGGATGTACGGACGCAGAAGTCCCCCGAGACCAAGACCGTCCCCAACAGGGCCGTCGACCATCTGATGGTGACGGCAGAAACTGAGCGTGCACTACAAGGAGCAGCATTCCTGAATATTCCTGAATATTCCTGAACATTCCCGAAAATTTCCCACTGTGACACTGTGACGCCTAAAGGGGGGCAGCTGTGCTTATTTTCTGCCATGAATTCTGCTCCATTCGTGTAAGTTCATATTAAAAACACGGGCAGAGTTTCAAATAATGAGCTCAGTGTGCAGATGTGAGGAATTCAGCCTGCTCTAAACTCTCTGCTTCACCCAGGCCTTTCTACTCTTGGCTCTCGCTGACATCACTGAGTGGGGATAGCCCTGATACGGCCCCCTCATGCACGAGTGTGGGAGGAACCTAATATTGTGTTTCAGAGTGAGGAAAGGCTGAGGAGCTGCAGTATGAAAGACATAAAGTGTTGGGGTGTTTCCAACATGTCTCCTGTCAGAGGAAAAACATCAAGACTCAAAGAAACTAATAAAAGAAAAAATATAATTATCCAGTGAAATCCTCCAACAAACCCTTCCAGTGACCCGGTTAGATACTGACCTTCCTCGTGAATGATCAGATTAGAGAGGAAGGTCATAATTAAACCATGTGTGAATAAAACGTCAGACCGTCACTAATCGATTTATTAATAATTACAAACTTTCATTCTTGGATGGGCGAGTAAAACCTTTTGGTTCAAAGCAAGGATGAGCTGCACTGTGGCCCAGTATGAGTATAAGAAGAATTATTTTGAACACTGAATCATGCAAAGCTGGTCTTATAGAGCCCACAGTATAAGTAACGGGTCTAACTGGAATCTGAATATTACCTTTATCTGAGAAACTGAGTTTCTTTTGACAGAAGCTGTGCTCACATTTTCAAAGTCACAGATCGTATTGTTGTGGTCCACAGAACACCAGTGCACCAGGTAGTCTGTGCATCCCGCTTATTCACTGAGGTTTGAGATATTTATTTGAGCAGAGAAACAGCAGGACTGTGTGGTTCTGAGGGCTGGGAGCTGCTCTGTTTCTTCCTGCAAGACGACTCCTTCCATGAAGTACTTGTACTCGTGAATACAAATCTCATATCAAGTCCTTTGTAATGGCAATCTAATATTTAGACTCCATCATGAACTGAAGGTTTAAATACCTCAAAGTTTCTAATTGGACTAATCAGAGCATCATTCAATGATTAAATCATTACACTGACAAACCAGTTACGCAGGGCCATTACACTCTTCTGGGATGTTATGATTACAGGCCAAAGCCAACTTCAAAGTCCTGCTAGTAAGTGCGCACACACACACACACACACACACTCTCTTAAGGAGTGGCTCGGTTCTCACTTGTGGAATCGTCCTGCTCTGTCCTCGTTGTCAGCGTAGAGGAATAATTTTAAGGCATAGTTTTCGATGTGGGCGTTCCCAACCACCTCCTGACTGATGGACTCGTTATCACTCAGCTCCTTCTTCATCTGCAGGAGAAACAAAAACAACGACACATGAACGGAACCGTGTAAGCTCTGCAGAGAAAAGCAATAAATCTGTTTTAGTGTCAAACTTTGGTTGTGAAAGGTGTAATACGTTTTAGCCTGAAACTGATCAACAGATCAGAAATATAGAAGAACATCTGCACACGCTCACGTTTGCAAACGGATAGACCTGCAGAGCTATTAGACCAGGTACTGTTTTAACTGCTGAATCAGGTGACACACACTCAATGCATTCACTGTACGAAGACCAACACTTACACACCAGTGCCCACAAATTCACACAAAGCCATCATTAAAACAGGGCCTCTCTTTGACCAGCTAAACCCTTTTTCTGGAGTATTCCATCTACTGGATGTACTTATCCCAGTATCTGCTTTATTTACAGTTTTTAAAACTTAGTAGGACCTGCAGATGATCCTTTAAACATCCAGCGGAGGCCGGAGAAACTAACCCTGATCCCTGGATGTGTCGCTTTTGGTTTGGTGCACGGAAAAACACTTCTGACTTCTTAGCTCAAATGTTTTAACTCAGGCAAACACGTCCTCGCTTCAGCGGGTGCCATCTAGCATGATGCTTGATTAGTCTCGCTCGCTCTGCTTCGCTTTGACTAGGTTTGCTCCACCTGTAATTGCTCCTCTATATGAAATGCCTTGCTCTGTCCATTACGGCGTCCAGCAGGCTTCGGGTTTCTTGTAAAAGCACTAAAGCAAACACGCAGGTTGCTTCCAGCAGGTGGACCCTGGCCGGGCTGAATAGATACTCTGTTCGCTGACTGTGAGTCGTAGCGGAGGAATGTAAAAGCACTGAGCTGAGCGTAGGACAGCAGAGGACAACTGGCCTGGGAATACAAGAATGTGGGATGAAAGGAAAGTCGCTAAACTCAGCCATGACTCTCAGGCTCGCTCGCTCTGGTTAGGTTTCCGTTTGACAGGCGACCAAACTTAAAGTGAAGCAGAAGAATTAGCGCCACTTTTTAAATGTAAACCTGGACCAGGTTAGAGCGAAGCAAGCCTTTGATACGAGACCGTGACGCCTTATTGACTCTGGGAGCAGCGAGTGTGACGCACGGAGGTGCAAACCAAGTCCAAACCAACAAACCGGGGCCGCTTCCCACAGAAATCCACACATGCACAGCAGTGTGCATGAGCGACGGGACGCCCAGCTACGCTTTCATGAGCTCTGTTAATAAATGAAGACCATAAATATGTGAGTGACAATGAATCACAGAGACTCCAGCTCCAACACCTCTGACTGCAGCTGATGCTTTATGCTCAAGTCTGCAGCCTCGGCCCACCTCTTCCTTTCCACTGTCGCCAAAGTGCTTGCTCATAGGGTCATAGTACGAGTGTTGGGCTTTTCTCTGCATCTATTATTGTAGGGTCTACCTTACAATATAAAGAACCTTGAGGCAACTGTTGTTTTGATTTGGTGCTGCATAAATTAAATTAAATTAAAATCAATTCAAATCTAAATTCTAGTTGCAGTCATTTGAATTTTCCTCCATCATCCGCTGAGCAGTGTTCATGTGTCTGAGCTTCAAGTCAGTGTCTCTAAACTCAGAAAGCTTTGAGTGTCTGAGATCAATACATGTTTCCTTGACGTTAGTGAGGTCTTAACCCTTTTTGAACCATGAACCTGGTGGCCCGTGTAAAAGCACGCTTTACTGTAACTCTGTTAATGTTTGTGTTAGAGACGAAAATCAAACGGTTTTGGAAAAAAGAGAACCTGTGCTCTGCAGTGATAGTTGGTGTACCAAGTACTCACAGAGTGGCATGAAAAATCAGCTCCACTGGGATTTTACCGTAACTCCTCGACCGCTCAGGGCTCAAGAGGAAATTCAAATAGCTGGACACATGTATCCATCTGGGTTTGGGTCTACATTTCTGAAAACCTTCAGTTCAGTCCATGATGTGGTTCTGATAAAGTCCATCTTTGTTCAGATGCGCGTAATTCCCACAGTCACAGGTGATCAGAACCACCACAGACTCATCGAACAGGCTCCAAGAAATCTGAGTCTTTGTACAGTATGTTTGATAAGGCTGCACAATTGATTGAATTATAACCTCAATCATTTTGGCTTCTCACCCTTAAATGAACACGACTGAGCAACAATAACAATGTGTTCTCTGCCAATAAAATGCAAAGTAGAAGCAAATCGAGCAGCTTGTTAATCTGCTTTACTTACAGAGCCAGAATTAGCCGCATTACTCATTCGCTCACTCCGTTCGTAAAGCGGCTGAGCTGATTTTAAACTGCTGTGTGTTTTACCTGATAAACTCTGCAGGTAAAACAGATTGATTAAGTCACAGAAGAAGGACCACCTGTTTGACCACCCTGATCTCCCCGCTGTGAGAGACCACGGCGCCCATCCTCAGTGGCTGCTGCAGGAGACAAAGATCTAAATTTAGCAGCATCTACCATGACTGGCATCTCTGAGGTTTCCCATCCTGCATCACATGAAACTGATTTTCAAACAAGTGATCTTCCACCGTCCCAGTGAAAGGCTTGAGCTGGCAATGACAGTGGAAAATAAAAGTCCAGCATGCCTAATGCCTAGTACGTACGAGCCAGGTCAGTGGGGAAATTGGGGGGGAGGATTTGGGGGGGGGGGGGGGGGGGGGGCAGACAGAGTTGCTGCTGTGGTTTAAATCCTGACTCAGAGCGCTGCAGAATGAGTCACAGCAACAAGCAACAGTTCATTAAGGAGTGGAAACCTCGGGGTGTCCCCGTGTTTCACAGAACTTGTTCGGGCTCCATCTGGACAATAGCAGCGCTTCCACATGATTAATTGGGTTTGTGCTGGTGTGATCACAGTCTGACTGCAGCTGAAGTTTACCGAGCAAAACCAAATCAGAATAAGACGGAGCCTGAATCAGGTCCGTGTTTGAACCACTCCTGCTGCCTGCTATCAGCCTGGGAAACAGTTTTGCAACAGGTTCACAACATGACACCAGTTCTCTCTGTAAAACCTGAAACCTGCTCTGAAAGCTGGCATCCGGTTGTTCAGTGATGACGCGACGAATCCTACTTCCGGGTCTAAAGTAGTCTGCGTTTAATATGGCTTTTGTGTTGTTAACATGTTTAATGTTATGTATTTTCTTCTATTTGATCTCAAAAAGCTCCTAAAACAGTCAGTGATCCCTGTTGACCTCCCTCGGCTTTTATTACCGCTAATCATTTATTTAAGCTCAGTTTTTAAAACCTTAGGATGTAACTACAGCCCAGCCCATGCAGCAGTATATGAATGACTAACCTCGTATTGTGGATGGATTATCTCAGTTGTTCTCCTGGCTGAAGTTTGGTCCGTTTACAGCATCCTGCCATGCGATTACATTTGTTTCTGACCACCGAGAAAACTCACGTTAACTTTTATCGAGTGGAAAAAAAAGTTAGCTTGTTTATATTATGCTAACATAGCTGTGTCGCTAGCGGTCACGTAGCACATCATTATATACCAGCTAGCCCAACTTCAGTAATCCTACAAACGTCACTGCTGTTTAGTTTTCTGTCTTCATTTATGCTGGAAGTGATAAGAAAGCTGTACGTTTTAATTTGTTTCCAAAACCCCGCAGTCAGGACATGCTATATTGTATTTAGATAGAAGCTAGCGAGCTAACTCCCTGCTAACTTCTAACTCCATTAAATGTCATAAATTCCGTTTTCATGGATGCCTGGATGTTAAACTCAATTGTTACACCTGGTAGAGCAGAACGCTGATCATTTTATTAAAGATGAAAGACTTTAGACAGTTTTTCAACTCTCAGTAATGCCATAGTGATCGTTTGATATATGGACCTGCAGCGGAGTTTAGACCCAGACACGGCTAGTGACGTCAGACTTAACAACCGGATAGGCCCTGATCACTAGGGCTGGGCCATATTATACCGTTCACGGTAATACCGGTATAATGTTAGGCAACGATAGGAAAATGAAATATCGCGATAGAATGGGAGTAAAACGCGCATGCGCAGTGCCTTTGTTTTCATACGCACATGGCCGATTGTTGAGTGAAACAGATGAACCAGAATTGGTTTGTAAAAATGGTGCAACTTCCGTGATGTGGAACTGGTTTGGTGTTTGTCCGTCAGATACACAACAAAGCACATTTTTTTGCAGAACATGCAAGCGGCCGTTGTTATTGTCGTATTTGTCGGACTAAGATGCTCTTAAATCTGGGAGTAATCTGGGTCCTAAACTCCGTATACTTCAGGTCAAACAACACTGCAGCATCACTTAAGAGTTAAAAACTGTCTAAATTCTTTCATCTTTAATAAAACGATCAGCATTGCTGCTTTACCAGGTGTAACTATAAAGTTTAACTTCCAGGCATCCATGAAAACAAAAGTTATTACATTTAACGGAGTTAGAAGTTAGCAGGAAGCTAGCGGAAGTTAGCTCGCTAGTTTCGCTAGTTACCTAAGCATGATATTGCATGTTCTGACTGAGAGATTTCTGAAAAAAAATCAAACGTACAGCTCTGCTATCACTTCCAACATAAATGAAGACAGGAAACTAAACAGCAGTGACGTTTGTAGGGTTACTGAAGTTGGGCTAGCTGGTATATAATGATGTGCTACGTGATCGCTAGCGACACAGCTATGTTAGCATAACATAAACAGTGAAGCTGGAGGACGAACACTAACACTTTTCCACTTATAAAAGTTAACGTGAAGGTTCTTCATGGTTAGAAACAAATGCAATCGCATGGCAGGATGCTGTAAACGGACCAAACTTCAGTCAGGAGAACAACTGAGATAATCCATCCACAATACGAGGTTAGTCATTAATATACTGCAACAACATGGGAATAGAGCAGCTGCCAGAGAATTCAACATTAATGAATCAATGGTACAGAAGTGGAGGAAGCAAGAAGAATGAGTTTAATAAAGTTTGATTTATCTGACTGCTTTGTTTCGCTTAATGTGCCTTATAATCCCGTGCACCTTATGGTCCGAAAAATGCGTACTGCACACTGCAGTTTAATGTTGCAAAGCACCTCTTTTTAACTTCAGTGGATATTATACATGGTTATGCTCAGGATATGTCAGCCCATTTCTACTGGAAATGCCTTTTGGTTAAACTTTCAGCAAGGAATTTGCATTTGCACTGTTACATTTTTATAAAGCTTTAATGTACATAAAAACCAGCTTCTTGTTTAAGTGAAAATAAATGGAAGGTTGTCTTTTTGCGCTAGTAATGTTGTGGAGTTGTATTTTGTCTCGCATCAATTATATCGTCGGTTATATCGTTATCGCAAATTTTCAAATATATATCGTGATAAATATTTTTGGCCATATCGCCCTGCTCTACTGATCACAGCCTTATTTGTGGCCATCCTCACCTGCAGTCTTCTCCTAAACTCTTGCTGCTCCTCAGAAAAAAAGGAAATTAAAGTTTTCTTTTCTTTACCAGATGTTGCATCAGCTTTCCCTCTCGGACTCTCCTTGCTCCTGCAGTGATGCATGGAGACGTCTCAAGCAACCGACCTGCTTGCGACTCCAAGCTGGCAATAGGCGTCAGAAAGACGACGCAACAAACGCGGCAGTCGTCACTCCATGTTCACAGCATCAAGCAGAAGCTGACACAGTCAGGAGTGACTGTTTGATATTTTACGACCAACAGTTAATATTCATATTTTATAAATGCTCACACTGAACAAGTTTACCTAAGAATATTTCCCTAAAAAGACTCCACCCAGAGCAAACTGCAGCAGCCAGCGGAGCATGCTAACATCACCACCGTGACAAGGTGACACCAGGGACAGCAGCTCATTGAAAAGGAGGACAGAAAATTATATATTGTGAGAAATATTTTCTGAGAGTAGTGCAATGCAATGTATGGCTATATACAGCAGGTGTGTGTCGTGTCGGGAAAGCGACGCACATGTGTGACGGAGATCCCTGGAGCTTCTGTAAAATCAGGCTGCATCTGATTCCTTTAACTGTTCAGACCCACACCTGATTTGCCACGTAGCAAGTTAAACTTGAAACGGTAAACGTTGGATGTAACCGTAGAAGTAGAAACATGCGCGATGAGGGTGGGAAACTACAGGATCAAAATGACATGGACAGTAAAACTGAAGCTGACGGATGTGTTTTAGAGCTTCATCACCTCTCCGTGGGTTCTTCTTAGTCTCGATAAATTCACTTGGCCCCCCCGCTGGGACACTCTCAGCCCGGTCACCTGCTCCCTCCCTTCCTCCCGTCATCATAACAATTCCACAAAATCGAATTAGCCCATTCCTGTTAGCAGACAGGAGAGCAGCCTGCATTACGTAAATGTGACTCACGGAGAAGCACAAGATGTTCTCGTAAGCTTGGAGAACAAACAGACGCAAACCAACGTGTCTTATTCCAAAATTAAGTGAGACTTGTGGCACAAAGAGTCCCTAATGATAAAGATTATTTACCATAATAATAATACCATTTCACATTAAATGGTGAAAAGAGATAAAACCCAAAGAGTCTTCACCTGATGGAGCAGGATAACTTTACATCGACCTCAGCAGGAAAATGTCAGCACTGGTCAGCTGTGAGTGGGGGTTAAGATAACCCACAACTTACATCATCAGGCCTTTGCTCTCATGTGAATGACTGAATGTAAAATCTCTGATCAGAGGTTCAGGCTGAATGGTATGTGAAACAAAACCTTGTTATTGTTAGATTTATATATCGTTCGTTATCAATATAAATCTCAATATAAATCAAAGGTTGTTGATTACCTTGTTGTGGTCGGCTTACACTCCCCGGCAGTGAGGCTCAGGACTGTCTTAGTGAGGCATCTGTAAATATGTGCAACTTGACCACATATCCAGAGTGACAGTGAGGTGTGGCACAGCTGTCCAGCTGTCGCTCTGCACTCTGTGCCATCTGAGAGAAATGTTTCTGGCCCGCGAGTCGCTAACGAGGGTCAGTAACTTAAATGACGCTTAAATCCGACATTCTCCTGTCCTTGTACACACTTCAGGTTCAGAGCGCAGTGGCAGGAAATGGGGAGAACATTGTCTGGGTTATCACTGGGTTTACGTCTTATTGTGCACAACATGACATTTATTTTAGAAACCATGTACCCGTCAGAGTCAAAAAGAAGGCTAAAGCGGTGCATATTTCAGGATGGTTTCCTTAGATCCATACTTCACTCACCACATCTGCTTTTGAGAAAAATACAACAACAGCTAAAATGCCAAGTTCAAGGAAAAGTTCAAGAACTTTAGATACCAGTGTGTGACATCACATTATCTGCAGCCATCTTTTATGTACAGTCTATGGCTTAAACCATCTTTAAAACAATACAGGCTCAGAAATAACAGGCTCAGGCTCGTTGCGTGACATGGCACAGAACGTACTGATGAAAGTGTTCGTAGTTCATACATATATGGACAAATTGAAGGAAAACTTGAAGTATTATGACATTACCTGGCCTGCAAAGTATGTCTGCTAACAGACCTTTTGAAGGCTTTACTGCATTACTTATGATATCTTGCTGCCCAGCAGTGCATGTGACCTGTAGGGGGCCCTCTGGGGTCACTGGGACCCCAGCAGTATTTTAACCTCTCCGAGGAGAGAAACCTCAAAGCTCTGAGAGGACCTTATGCAGTGAGTGCAGCCTCTGATAACCAACAGGTAAATGTCAAGCCTTTTAGAGGGCTGCGTTGTGTGTGTGTGTGTATTCATATCTTTGTGGGGACCAAAGATTTAAAGTTTACTATACTTCTGGGGACCAAAATCCTGGTTTGAAGGCATTTTTGAGACTCATAATGTGGTTTTAGTGTCAGGGTTAGAGTTAGGTTATGGTTATGTTAGGTTTAGGATGAGGGTTAGGTTTAGGCATTCTTTTTTCATGGTTAGGGTACGGGGCTAGGGAAAGCATTATGTCAATTAGATGTCCCCACAACATAGTAATACCTGACGTGTGTGTGTTTTCTAAGAAAAGAGCCATTCAGCTGTGTGCTGCTGAGGTAGAGGCGGTGTACAGGCAGCGGTGCAGCCAGCGTCACAGGCTCGGAGCAGGAGTAACGAGGCTGTCGGCTGGACCGTGCAGCTCAGCAGGAGGTCATTGTTCTTCACGTAACACGTCACTTAAAATCTGATGTATATGAAATCCAACAAGATTCTTATCAACCCTCGAGATACTTCTATTCATATCTCTTATTAATTTACTAAACCTGAGCTGTACAGCAGGGGCAGACAAAAGCTCCTCAGACGTCCTCTATGAGCCTCGGTTTCTTACAGATAAATAAAAATAAACCGGGCTGATTTAATCTGGCAGATTTTCTCGATGCAAAGCTTAAACTTCAGTATAAAATAAATAAATAAATAATCCCAATGAAAGTATGAGCTGCAGCCTGCATGGCCTCGAGGCCTGCACAGAAACCAGGGACCCCCAAGCCCGTGTGTCCTCTCCACAGAGGGAGAGGGAGTCCAGAAAAATCAAGAGCATGTTTATGAAACAAATGCAATGACCATCTCATCTGCGTGTTTTTGTTCTCTTAATCACTTGAAGTCAAAAGCAGGAATGAAAATCAGACCCAGCGAACAGACCCAAATTAATCTTTCTCATTTAGATGCAGTCAGCAAGCTCCTGAAATACTGAAGCTCCTGGTTTGAGATGATTAAGCTAATGCGCTTCATTTACTCATTATTCAACGTGACACAATCAGCAAGAGAGAACTAAACAGGAAAAAGGGTCCACACTGAAGGAGGAACAGGACTAAAGGGAATCCAACTCACCGTCTCCAGCTGGTCCATGAGTTTGACCAGGAACTTTCGGCACTCGGGTGTTTTGCTGTCCAGCTTCATGCCCGTCTGCATGGCGTAGAGTCGACCTGCGGGAGAGCACGGGGAGGAGATAAAAAAATTAAACAAGTCTGTTCTTCCACAGCTTCGCTCACACAAGACTCGACACAGAGTCTTCTTCATTAAAGTTTCACACAAGAGCTGCTGAAGATGTTTTCTTCTCTTCCAGGAGGAGGAGGGAAAGATTTCCACCTGAGACGAAGCAGGCCTGTGTGGACACACTCATGATCCCTCACCTGTCAATTATTTCTATTCTTCTCTAACATGATGTAACCTCACACCTGAGCAGCAGCACCGGGCCTGCAGGGATGACCTCCAGAAAAACTCTTAGAGAACTTGGACTGGAATTATTTTCCAAAAATTATAAAGCTAGTCAGAAAAAAGGTGCTGGTATGATAAAGTGTTTTCATATTACTGTAACGGAGGTCAGGGAGGGCTCGTGTTTCTGTGATGTACCTGCAGCTCTTTACTCAGTGTTCAAAAACTGTTATGAATATGACAGATATGCATTTACTGAATGTATCTGCTGGTATAGGGACATTAAATCCAATGTTATTTGAGCCAGAAAAATACACAAAACATTCACAAGGAGTGATACAACCTGAACTCCACGTTCAACACCACAGACTGTATTTAAAAGATTGCCCAACAAGACTTCACAAACAGTGAAGAGACACTTGCTCACACAGTCTATGCTCACAACACAAACCTCAGAAAGCAGACTGAGAATGATGTGCACAGCTGTCACACAACACATTTTCAAAAACTGAAAAGAGCTCCCCATCAACAATACACACACACACACACACACACACACACACACACACACACACACACACACACACACACACACACACACACACACACACAGAGACAGAATTCAGCTGTTTGTTGTGTGGGTATCCAGGTTTCAGTTCAGGGGTGTGGCTCGTACACCTGAAGTCCGTCACTGTGCTTCAGTTTGCCTCGTGGCTACACAAACCATGACTTTACACCCCGTTAGAGAGTTTGTGTGTGTAAACGTTTTATGGAACCATGCTGATGCCTTCCTGTAGATTCTGGGCTGAACTGCACTGCAGACTCATCTCTGTGTGAATCAGCCCGGGGTTTGTTAACCAGATGGATGGTGCACTGTGTGTGATCGCTGTGCGTGCACACAGCTGCTGTCTCGACCCATGTTAAAAATGATTGTCTTTAACTAAAATGAGAGACACTTTGAAGCGCACACGGCTTCCTCCTCCATCAGCAGGAAATACAGACGCTGTGTCTGCAGGATAAACACCTCACAGTCGTCCTAAACCGGCAGCAGAAAGGCTTTTCACACTCTGCTCACTCTCACACAATCACAGGTGTGTTGGAGTAAAAACCTCCACCTGTGCTGACAGGCACGCAGACATTCCTCAAATCATCTCTAATCCACAGCTCTGTGTGTGTGTGTGTGTGTGTGTGTGTGTGTGTGTGTGTGTGTGTGTGTGTGTACACTTGTAGTGCAACAGGCACAGTGAGCAGACTCAGCGCTGCACTATCAGCGCAGGGTGAAGTGACCTCAGAGTTCCTTCTCTGCGAGGATTACCTCAGCAGATTGTGCTGTTTGTGTGGAGGCGGAGTGCGGCGTGCAGCACAGAGCGATGAGATCAGCGCGGATTTTACCCTTTGCTGAAATTCTCTCTTTTGAACGTGGACCTCATTTTGGAACGTGGAACCTTGTCGTGTTCTAGAAATTGACGGTTTTATTAAAAATCACCAACGTTTCAAATAATAAGTAATCTCTGTGAGCCACGTGCTCAGGTTGTAGGGCATCGCAGCCCCACCCACCTGCTGTTAAAACCTTCTGTCTGTGAGGGGCAGCCAATCAGAAGACAGCTGGCATAAAGGTGGAGGAGCCCAAACTGCTTGCTTCAGAGTGACTGCAGTAATGCAGCATCACATAAATAAAGATTACTGTAAATTGTAAATCATGCAGAGCTACTCTAGTAGAAGAATATAGAGCTGAAAGCATGTGGAATGGTGCACGGTAAGAAATCTGAGTAACTAATTATAATTATGTTTATAATTTAGTTCATTAATTGAACAAAACTCAAAGGTTGCAACTTGTCTGTTTTGTTTTATGCCTTTAATTTGAAAATCTCCGGGTTATAGTTTGTTGGTCAGACACGGCCGACATGACATGAGCTGGAAACGTTAATAAACATTAAAACATAACTAAATAAAATTCCACCTATTGATATTGCTCCCACAATTACTCTACACTTATTGTACGTTATCTGAAACATGCACAGGCTGTGCTCAGAGCGTCTGCTGCAGCGGAGAGAGAAAGCCTGAATATTAAGCAGTATTCCAGCGTGGACGGTCGGGCCTGTCGAGTTACCAGGAGACCATAAACATCGTGTTGTACTCTGCATATATTTGAGTAATCCGTTTCCACCTCATGTTTGAGTCACAGCCCTGCGCAGCATCAGCAGAACAATGGCCCATTTCACAGCAGCAGAATGGCGGGGAGCCTCTGTCCAGCCGCCAAGGCCAGAAGCACTCAGTGTTTCCAAAGAGCGGCACCAGTGTGACACGCATGTACGCATGTACGCATGAACAAGAGAGCAGCAAGCCACACAGACAGCGGGTCCTCCAGCAGACTGACAAAGGAAGGCTTTGTGTCATCGCGCTGTACAACACAACCCAACACAGTTAGACTGCAGACACACACACACACAACCAGTGCTGGAGCCCCCTTGTGGTGAGTGAAGGTGCAGTTTGTTTCTGCATAGGAATCATTTTTCATTAATTTGTATTTTGTTCAGTTTATTCTTCTCACCCTGAAAACTACATGTAAGCATCAACAGCTCTCTGCAGCCCAGTAAAGGACAGCAGCTACCAGTGTCACTGCAACACATAAATAGTAGTTTGTTTTAAAATGAAAAACACTCAGAATTAAACAAAACATCTGAATTTGATAAATTACATAAAATTATATTTAATTCCATCTTTAAACCAGCAGTGTAGACTTCAGCTGCACAGATATCAGCACACAGGAGGACTTTAACTGATCTCAGTGACCTGCATTCATCTCACAGGAAATAAATCATCCACATCAGCTACCAGACATTTTAAACCAGGCATCGCAAGTTAAACCTTCGATGCCCCTCCGGTCTGCAAAAAGCTGCAAAAGCCTGAAAGCACGCCAGCTGGGACACATCCTCTGAGGAGACGATGGCTTCAAGTGTTAAAACCTGTCAGGCTTTTGTTTCCTGCGATTATAGGGTCTCTGACGAGCTTCCCTCTCTGCTGGCACTCCCAAAAGTAAGTAGGGTCCAAAAAATGCTTTTAGCTCCGGCGTTTGTTTTTCAGAGGTGATAAGCTTCAGTGGAAGGGCTGCTGCTGCCAGCTCACGCAGAGGAAAAAGTTTGTGAGAAAGGATGTGCACTGAAGGTGTTAGACGAAACACTGAACAAATGCAGTGAAAAAGCAAGAAGCTCCATTTCCAGAAAGTTCAGCTCGTGACTGGCAGCAGTGCAGCTTTCTGACTTCTATGTCTCTGAGGACTCTGATATCGGTCTAATTTGCCTCTCTGTGTGTGTGGAGGTGAGCTGGATGCAGGGACTGTGGTCAGAGAGCATCTTCGGGATGGAACAGTGAGCCTCTCGGCCATCGGTGCCTGACGGGATGGTTTACTGCTGATTTGTTATGACAGTGCATTCATTGGGTTGCACAGCACATAACTGAGCACGTCAACACCAGTCAGTACGATGTGAGCCACATCAGGTAGACCTGTGATGTGCTGCCCAAGTTTTCTGCAGAGGCTTCTACAGCAGAGATTTCACGTGTACAGACACTAAACTCTGCTCTGTCAACACAGCAGTTTCCCCAATTTCCTCGTTTATCTCTTGGCGTGACAGTGACTGTTGTAAGAAAATATATTTAGCAGTGAATAATTAACCCTCCTGTAATGGTGCTGGCAGGACGCCGCCACCGCCTCGATGCAATTTTTGACATTCTGTGCCAATGTGAACGTGGGCCAGAGCAGTCTCTGTGTCATATGAATGACAAGGACTTCATTATGGAGAATAGCTGAGTCGCTCTGTGTGTGTGTGTGTGTGTGTGTGTGTGTGTGTGTGTGTGTGTGTGTGTGTGTGTGTGTGTGTGTGTGTGTGTGTGTGTTTGTTCGTTCAGTGTGACCAGAAGACAATCGAGGCCCACAGAGTGAACACACTGCCACAGATTCTGGAGGTTCATTCCAGCACAACATGCTGTAAAGCGTGACTGCAACGCTTACAGATAACATGAAGCTTGAACACAGAAACCGAGCACGACGGGAACAGATCATTAAGAACAAGAAACTCTGTCATATCTGTTCTGCTGTTCTCACAGCATTTCTTTGGTTTTGGTATTAAAAGCAGCTCGGCGTAACCTCCATTGTTGTTCCCATTTCTTCATTCAACCTTATGAAAAATGCCAAAGATAACATAGTTTGACAGCATAAAATTTAATTTTTGCACCAACAAGCTGAAAACTTGGCATACCACACAGTGTGCAGTAAATCACTGCATATGAAAAATGCCACCCATTACCCATTTTCCTGCAAAATGTAAAGAAGGGTGTAGCTCAAGACTTACTGTATAACACCCTCAGTTTTATCTAAATGTGAGACAAGAAAATTACAACATCCAGGATTTTATTCTTTAGAGACAAGGCTGCAGTTTAACTGGCTTCACAGATAGACCATCTGCATAGCAATGAGCTTTTGAACAATACTGCCTCAAGGAAGCATGTATAATGTAAATGCAGTTGATCCCAGCACTCCATGACTAACTTCTATGTGTGGAGAAGAAGCCACATTTACATGCACAAATAATGTTACCAAGCAGTAGAGTTGGCTAGCTAGCTTTAACTTGGCTGCGTGGATGAATCCGGTGATGGTTTGGTAACGTTAGCTGACGAAGTGATGTGAATACGGTCACATCGCTTTATCAGATCAGCACTGGAATGATTTAGCTGACCTTATCCACTCAGGACAATATAGTGACAGCGTGTAATT